CCACCTCAAAGTTATCCTTTCTGATCGATCTATTCAAGAGTCCGTAGTAAAATAACACGTAGCTATTCTTTCCGTTCGATCTATCATATAGTTCATACTAGAATAACACCTTAAGACACTAATCAACCAAAACCCTAATGTCACCTCAAGTATCCGTGGGCATGATTTCACGATATGCTTCACACAATCTCAGATTCATCTATTCAACCAACACAAAGTACTTCAAAAAGTGCCCCAAAGTTTCTAACGAAGAGTCAAGATGAAAACGTGTGCCAACCCCTATGCATAGATTCCCAAGGTCACGGAACCCGCAAGTTGATCACCAAAACATACATCATGTGGATCAATAGAATACCCCATTGTCACCACGGGTATCCCACGCAAGACATACATCAAGTGTTCTCAAATCCTTAAAGACTCAATCTGATAAGATAACTTCAAAGGGAAAAATCAATCCATTACAAGAGAGTAGAGGGGGAGAAACATCATAAGATCCAACTATAATAGCAAAGCTCATGAATACATCAAGATCGTGCCAAATCAAGAACACGAGAGAGAGAGAGAGAGAGAGAGAGAGAGAGATCAAACACATAGCTACTGGTACATACCCTCATCCCCGAGGGTGAACTACTCCCTCCTCGTCATGGAGAGCGCCGGGATGATGAAGATGGCCACGGTGAGGGATCTCCCCTCCAGTAGGGTGCCGAAACAGGGTCCCAATTGGTTTTTGGTGGCTACAGAGGCTTGCAGCGGCGGAACTTCCGATCTATTGTGCTCCTGGATGATTTCGGGGTATATGTGTATATATAGGCGAAAGAAGTCGGTCAGGGGAGCCACGAGAGGCCCACAAGGGTGGGAGGCATGCCCATGGGGGGTAGGGCGCGCCTCCCTGCCTCGTGGCTTCCCCGTTGCTTCCCTGACGTCTACTCCAAGTCTCATGGATTGCTTCCGTTCCAAAAATAACTCTCCCGAAGGTTTCATTCCGTTTGGACTCCATTTGATATTCCTTTTCTACGAAACACTGAAATAGGCAAAAAAAAAAGCAATATGGGATGAGCCTCCGGTTAGTAGGTTAGTCCCCAAAATAATATAAAAGTGTATTGTAAAGCCCATTAAACACCCAACACAAATAATATAATAGCATGGAACAATAAAAAATTATAGATACGTTGGATACGTATCAATAGACAACTAAAGGAAACAACCACGTGCAATGTCGTACGAGTAAAAATAGTGTATAGTACTTATGAAGACGTGGATAGATGAAGCGAACAAAAAAGACTGAAGTACAAGACATCAGTATTTGTACTATATTTTTGGTGAGAATGTCTTAAAATTCTTAATAAAAAGATAAATACAAATGTAGCCTCAAACAAAATATGGAAGGCTAAATTTGTGTACTTAATTAATGACTTTAAAATGCCCAATCAATATCTCTATTAGTGGTCGTCATATGTTAATGATACTTATCATGCTTAATTTTTTAAATAGCTAATTCGGGTGGCTGAAGATGAACAGTTATCAGAACATGGGGGAGTCACTTTGACATCAATGATAAGAAAGAAAGTTGGAGAATGGCAATAGAAAAGGACAACCTAGCCGCGCAAATGCGCGGGTCACTCCGCTAGTTTTCTAATATATGGTCAACGTGTTTTAAACATCTTCTAAATGCTTGATTAACATTTAGCAAGTACATGATTAACATTTTTAATACATGAACAACATTTTTTATATACACATTATAACATTTTCAAATGCTTAAAGCATTTTTTCTATACACATTTAACATTTTCAAATGGATGGTTATCATTTAATACATGGTTAGCATTTTTTCTATACACATTTAACATTTTTCAAATGCTTGATTAACATTTTTCAGATACTTGATTATGCTTTTCAAATGCTTTATTAACATTTTTTAGATATGTGATCAACTTTTTTCGCACATATCGTATTTTTTTGTATACATTTTCATATACACGAGAAAAAAATTCTCATAAACATTTAACATTTTTCAAAAGCTTGGTTAACATTTTTTCAAATGCTTTATGTAAAGTGTATTTTGAAATATATTTATCCAGAATATTTGGATGTATAAATGAAACAAAAAAGGAAAGAAAGAAAAAAAACAAAAATATGGGGCCGTGGCCTCCCGCATGCCTACACCGACCCATTTAGTGAGGCGCTTGATACGAGAGCACACTAGGTCTTGCTAAGACACAAGAAAATATAACTGAAGGACTACTTATCAACTATCTACACATTGTTGTCTGATAGCTTTCCAAAATAATTAGAGGCACGCTGCTGATAAGTGACGCCCACCACGTGGCACAGTGCAAGAATAGTTGTAGCAGGGTGCCACCGACATGCGCTACTGCTAAATAGTTAGCAGTAGC